AAAATAGCCCCCTTGCAGAAAGAGGTCTGTCTTTAATTTTGGGGCTGGCATAATTACGAAAGCATTTTGGATCCTAATAATGTTATGCCACACATTAAATAAATAAATAAATAGCCTAAGAAGGAAAAACCATGGAAACACTCCTCTGGCTAACAAAGAAAGGCTAAACAGAGCTTAGCTTTCAGAAAAAATAGGGATCTCTCTGTCAGATCACCAATGACCTGAGACTCACAGCCTCCTAAGGGAAGCCTCATTGTTTCACTCTTGTTCCCAGGGCGTGCTGAGTTCAGCAGCTGAATTATTTCCACATTGTAGTCAAGAAGGGGAGTGAAGTGGGCCTGGAGTACAAATGCTCTAAATACTCTGCTTGGGCAGATAGCTTAAAAATAGAACAATCAGTGGAGCTATAAGTGAGATTGTTTGTAAACACTAAAACCATAGGTCTTCTCCCTGCTAGTCATAGTCCAGGAACCTGCAGAGCAGTGAGTAATCTGGTCCTGCTGACTTGCTGGGGCTTTGATGTACCTTCTGAAATCCTTCTTTAAAGGAATCACAGAATCACAGAATGGCCAGGGTTGGAAGGGACCTCAAGGATCATGAATCTCCAACCCCCTGCCACATGCAGGGCCACCAACCTCCACATTTCATACCACACCAGGCTGCCCAGGGCCCCATCCAACCTGGCCTTGAACACCTCCAGGGATGGATGGGGCATCCACAGCCTCTCTGGGCAGCTGTTCCAGCACCTCACCGCTCCCATAGAACAGACTTTCTCTCAAAAAAAACAAACTTGGATTGCGAGGCTCACCAAGGAATTCACTAAGGGAAAAGACGTACCGAGTTTACATGCTGCATTGATTGCTTAGGGCAGGTTTGCATCCTGCCCACATCGATCATGCAAACAGAGGGACTGTTTCTTAATGGTCATCTGCTGCCTTGTGCTGTGAGCATCCGAGATGTGGAATGACCAGATTTTCACCCAAGCACACGCAGGGATCCTGGTTGTGACCAGAAGTAGTTTCTACCCATATTAGCAGCCCTCAATTCTGGTCATGTTTGCTTGTTTTCATGCATAAATATTTTTTATTGAAATTAAGACTCCTTTCTTTCTTGATCTAGGCTGTGATAGATCACAGTAATTGAAGCAATTCCCACCCTAAAAATTTTAATTAAGTTACAGAGATGCCTGCATGCTAGAATTTAATCAACTTATCTTTTCCAGACATTGTTTTGCTTCATCACGCCGTCTCCCTTCTGTTTACTGATGCTCAGTGTGTTGTATCTAGCATTCGACCATACTGTTTTACAACAGCCGTGTTTCTTATTTCTGATACGGAGTTCGTAATACCCTGTGGGGACCTTGAAATTACTTAATCATAATGTGATTATTTTCAGACTTCTTACACACTGTGTTACAAAGTCCCAGGAGCAAACCTGCGGGCAGCCCAGGTCTGTTGGTGGCATCTGCTCAGCTGCACTTCCCAATGGAAAGAGCTGGTGTTGAGAGAAGTGTGCAAGTGTCACAATCCTCCAAAGCTGAGAGCTTGCTGTCCCAATAAGTCGTGTGGGCTTTTATGGTGTGTTTGTGTGGTTGGTTTAATAACGTATAAGAAGAGAAATCTTAGGCTCCTTGGGTTTTGGGGGCAAGGCAAGGCAGAATGTAGCAGTGAGTAAAGCTTCTTGGGGTCACGCACAGAACTGTGTGAATTCAGTGTCCTCCTTCAGCTGCAAGAGTTACTCTTTTTCCTGCTTTCCTATCCCTTTGATTTTTTTAATGTTAAAAGTACAGATGGTAATTTCTCACTTCCCTACAGTCAGAGCACTGGATAACTGTGTTTTCTTGGGAAAACAACAGAAACAGGAAAAGAAGTGTTAGAGTGCTACTCCAGCCTGAAAGCCTCCCATGGGGTGGTGCCCAGCAAGCGCGTTTCAGTTTTGTCAACCAAGCAGTTTGACCTCACTGCACAGGGAATTCAGCTGTGCCAAATTTCAGTGTAATATTTTGCACCCATTTGAGCAGCAGCTTGTAAAAAATATTTTTGCCCATTTGGCACAGCATGGGAGAGCAGAAGAACCTCTCGAATCAGCTCATCACTAATTTGTACGCTTTGCAGCCGTTCAACAATACAGAAGCAGCTCCTAAATTCTCAGGAAAGGTTGTGTAGCAAGGTGGTGTTTAAATGAAACTACTTATTCATAACGTCTTTAAGACGTAGTGATATTATTGTTGTTAATTCATGTTACTATTTAGGTATTGCACAAATAAATTTGAAGTGTGAAGGCATCAGAATCATCAGCCCAATCAGTTTGATGAGACATTAGCTTTTTTTATAATTACCTTAATCTTGCTATTTCTTTCAGAGCCTGTTTTTAAGCACATGCATGAGGCTTTCCAGAATTGACAATTGACTTAAAAAACTCAATAGTTTGCACTGGGAATGGTAATGATGAATGCTTTGCTTTGTTTGCTGCCTCACATTGATTTTGACCATTCTTCCATCATTTCTTAGTTGATCATCCAAGCAGATTGCTCTTGGTAGCAATCTTTTCCTTTTCCTATCATAAATATATGGCTGTTTTGTCAACAAATCGGGTTATTTCCTCCCTGCAGAAAAAAATTAGAGGACAAAGTCTGCATTTAAACAACTGAGTTGTGCACTTGTTCTCCACGCTGCTGCAATCGGGAGTTGCTGGATCACCAAGGTGGCTGTTCCTTATGATTGGTAATGAAAGGCCTCTCCCATTCCCTCCCTGGTGATTAACTGAAGCATTCCCCGGGGCGCTGTTCAAGTGGGCTTAACCATGCAGGCTGGGAGCTGATGCCATTTCTTTCTTACCTTCTAAAGCAGGCCTGGGTATGGCTGTTGTAGAATTCAGAACTGAAAACAGAATTTGGTGCAAGCTCTGAGATGTTCTGTGTGGATGGATATGCATGTGGCATAATGGATTATGCAAAGGCTGAGGAAGATCTATCTAACATGTATAAGACACATATAAACTGCATACAAATAATTTTTCATGTTATATATTATTTAAGACTTAGACGTTATTCTTCTGTTTTCTTCCATATCTGTGTACTACATGAGAAATGACTTTATTCTTACTACATGTGACCTCGAGTCTTTGTGAGGACCTCTGCATCCATCTCTCTCTACTTAGTTTGAGCAAACACATGCAAACTCACTGCTCAATTGGCACCCAGATTAAATTTGGATCAATTTTGAACTCAAGCCCAATTGTGAACCTTTTGTGTGCACCCATCTTGCCCAAGTTCAAAAAATCTTAGAATTACAGAATCATTAAAGTTGGAAAAGACCTCTAAGATCATCCAGTCCAACCACCAACCCATCCCACCGTGCCCACAAAGTTGTTTGGTTTTCCAGCAGAGCTGGCTGATGCAAATAGCACCATGACCCTGGTTTGGTTCTGTCTATGAGCTGGAGCAGAAAGCAGGCAGGTTAGTAACTGTTTGGTTGAGACTCTGTTTTCACAAATAATTGTGAATTTTTTATGCGTGCAGCATCTTTTTAAAATCACACAATATTTATCAACTGAAACGCAAATTTTAAAACTGGAGTGGATTTCTGAAACAATGAAGCTTAGAGCATAGTGTATGCCAGAGCTGTGCTGGAGATCTCCTGATGCCTACTAGCACTGTGAGAAAATTCCTGGTTGTTGTTTCCAATGTAATTCCCTTTTTGCCTGTATGTTAACTGCCTTAATTTGACTCCAGCAGGATGTGTCCATGAGCAGGGCTCCCAGCGTAACAGGAACCACCGATCTGCCTGATTACCCAGCTCTCACAAGTCTGATCTGTATTTATTTTCACTATTAATTTACTGTGGTGAGAGTGAAAATCTGCTCTCAGGAGGGGCTGTGGTTTCAGTGGGTACCACAGGGGCATCCTCTGCTCCAGCTCAGACTGCTCCGAGGTGATGACCCACATGCTCATCTGCCTGAAATGAAGCAGTGGTTTCTCCCAATTTCTTTTCTTATGTATGCACAGTAGTGCTTCCAAAATCCGTTTTCAACAGGGAATAAAAATCAAGGCTTAATTTTTTGCCCTTTTAACATTTGAATGATGTTCCTGCTAATTCTTGCTGTTAAATATTTATCGCCCATGTTTCCTCTGGTTCCCAACTGCACTGACAACAAGTTTGCAATCTCCAAACCATGGCTCAGCCACACTGAGAGCTGAAGAAATGGAAATTGAATTGCAAGGGACTGTTAAAAGGCTGCTGAAACGACTCAGTGTGTTGTGCTCCCGCAGCAGCCGATGGTGCTGCTGAGTGCCTGGTGCTGAGCTCGTGCAGCATCAGCTCCTAGCAAGTCTCTTGAATTCTGCGAGCAAGGCAAGAGGGAGCTGCTTTTCTGCAGCATGTGGCCCCTGGAGGAGAGCAAAGGGAGAGAGGTGGAAGGAGGAATGGAATTTAATTAAAGCACCGTGTGGCTAACATAGTTATTAATGAGAGGCTTCCTTATGGGAAAGGAAGGGTTTCTGCACATGGGTTGCAAGGGCATGAGTAACAAGTTTTCTGCGGGGAAACAGAACTGGGTTAAGGCAGTAATTCTTCTTAAATGTGTAAGAACTTCCTAGCAGCATTATGAGTTGCTGGAGTTTTCTCCAGGCATTTCTTCTGCCCTGAGTAAATCGACACTTCGTCCTCACAGAATCGCAGAATTGCCAGGGTTGGAAGGGACCTCAAGGATCATGAATCTCCAACCCCCCTGCCACACGCAGGGCCACCAACCATTCCACCTAATGCTAGACCAGACATGTGCCAGTCCTCTTCCTGTCTTACAGCTTTGGGAACATTTTATGATTCTTTTGCTACTTCAGCAGGAGGCTGCTGCTGTTCTGTAGCCCACCCAGTTCCACAAACCTCCCGTGCAAGCTGATGCTCACTTTGTTTCCTTGTCATGCAGCAAAATCCTAATAAATCTTCTGTCCTTCTCATTAGAAAATACAATTCCCTTAATTGAGTTATTTTTCTTGGCAGATCTCGAGAACTTCAAGACCAGGGTAAGAAGCACAGTGTCCGTCCGCCAGGGCCAGGGCATGGTGCTGCTGTGTGGACCGCCGCCGCACTCTGGAGGTAAGGCAACTGCTTCTCTTGCTTTGAGGATGCAGTGGCAATGTGAAAGGTTTTCATTCTCAGGATATGCTTCAGAAGGTTCAGAGAACAGCTCTGTGGTGGTGTGTGCCTGAGGGGTTGGTTCTAAGTGGTTGTGTTAAGCAAAGAAACTGGGAGATCCCTAGTTGGGTATGAGTGCAGAGAAAGATCTTAGCTGCACTGTATCCAAGTATGTGCATAGGAGACAAGCTGAGGCCAACCAGAACAGTATGTGCATATGGAAAAGACGTGGCCGAGACCTTGTGCAACTGTCAGAGCCTTTTAATGTGACCTATGTGTATCTTCTGAAAAATAGGCTGGAGATTGTTGACAGAGCTACTTCTGTGCATGATCTTCTCAGTATTATTTTAATGTCTAGGACACTTGTTGCCTGTGTTTTTTTTCTCCTGGATGCTCAGCAATTGTCCAGGCCTCATATGATTTATTTCTGGAGGGACATTACATGCTCTTCCTGCTGTTTCTATAAGAGGAAGAGGCAAAGCAGAGTGGTATAGGGAGGAGGAAATACCATGACAGCAAATTATATATTTGCAACCTTCTACTCTGAATTGCCATAAGGTTTTATTTTATCAGAAGGGCTGTATTGTGTTCTTTGTGTACCTTCTGAACGTTAACACCAACAGACTGCAATAGCTGCTGCGTGTGCATACCCTAAGATGACGTGTTCTGAGAGCACGTGGTGTCTGTCAGATGCCATTCTTTGCCAGGAGCCAATAGCACAAGTATCAGTGTTCAGAGCAAGAAGGTTTATGAGGATTTTGCACTCATGACCCTAAGGAAGACAACATTTTCTCACTGGTATTTGTGGCCTGTGACCACCAACCAGCACTCAGCAAGCAGCCGTTGCAGCCTGCTGTTGTGTTGGGAGGGATTTTGGTACATCGTTGGCATCTGGTCATCTTTCAGTCATCATATTTCATGTTTCTGCATCCCTTTTAAAGGAATTTCCAATCATGCTTTGACATCTGCCTGTCCTTTGAAAGCTTGCTCGCCAGCTGGATGAGAATTGCCCAACAGCATCTTAGGGTGACAGGGAGGTGACAGGAGGCAAGCATGTTTCTGGTGCCCAGAAAGACAGGAAACTGAAGGGCAGTTATTTCCTTCTGTCGTTTGGATGAAAGATGTCTTCCTACATGGCTACATTCTACCGTCTGCTCTTATTACATCTAGTAAATTATCTTAATTGTATCAAGCCAGATCCACAATTAGTCTAAATTGATACAATTGCAGTGTTGTAACCAAGCTGGGCTGCTGTACACCCGTGGTGGTTTTCTGGTTTGCATGGAAAGTGTTTTGTGGAAAGTCAAAATAGTTCCAGGTAATTGAGAGTGAGGCCCTTGTTCTGCAGGAATTAATCTTCTCTCTGGAAATAATTTCATTTTCTTTTCCTTCCTCCCAAGGTTAGAAATAACGATGAGTTTTAGAAGTCACAACTGCAACGTTAATGCTTTTCAATCATGTGCATCGCTCTCCGTATGTCTCCCAGCGTAATAGAAACTATTTGGTCTCTAGCAGTTACTGCACAATTACCACAGCTATCTCCTGTTCCAGCTCTGGGCAGATGGAGCTTCATAAGAGAATATCAGATGTCGCTGGGAATGAACCGCGTATCGGAAAATCGCAGTGTTTCGTTGGCAGCTCCCATCCCAGGGCTCTCAGGCAGCGTTTGCAAAGCAAAGCTGCAGAGATCAGCTCCTGCCCCTGCCTCCCTATGCTGCCTCTGAGTGTAACTTTGCAATGATTCAACGTTGTGATGCGGCGGTCAGGTTAGAAGTGAGGAGTAATGCATCGAGCTGAAAGTGTGAGTGGCAATTAAGATGGAGGAAACGCAATTACTTATTTTGGAATTTGATTATGACAGCAAAGCTAACTTCATCATCCTTCCAAAAGTGCCTGGGGACATTCATGACCAGCACAGAAACATAGGACTGGCTGGGAAGAATTCTACATTATGGCTTTTTAATTTTTTTTTTTACTGTAACTTTTATTCTGCATTTAAAATTTCATATTAAAAAAAAATAAATAAATAAAAGAGCAGGCAGAACAATTCAGCTGGAATGTAGCTGTTGCTTTGATTGAGGGTATTCAAGAGAAAGGAAGAAGCCTGAAAAGAACGAGAAACCAAGACCTGGCCTGCTGCTGAGCACTGGGTGTAGGTTATCCCTCTGGGTGCCAGAGCTGCAGGCACAACAATTCCCTCCTATAGGAGAAATTCCCAGTTGTGTGCAGTTTTCCCTCAGTTTTGGGGTGACTCAGATGGCGGAGCTCAGGGCTGCCCTTATCTGTGCAAATTCAGTAATTGAAATCTGTTAGAAGGGAATCATTCCTTGTCCACTGTTGTTGTTGGTCATCTTGGTCTTAAAAATGCGTTGTTGTACTGAAATTCAAACATCCGTCTGCTTCCAGGCCTTCATCCTTTGGGCTGTAATTCACTGCTTGGAAATACCCATTTTTTAAGAGCTGGTGTTTGAAAGTGGAGTTATGTTAGCCTACATACATAAGTTGTTGGGAGGTTTTTTCTTCATAATGATGCCAAATGTAAAGCTTCCTATTACTCAGGTGTTACTAGGAATTCCTCTTGAAAGCCAGTCCAGATAGTTAACAGATATTTCCACCATCATAAAGTGGAGCACGTAGGGCTTGTGAGGGCAGCATGGGCATCTCCATGAATTGCCCCAGTTTTTATTGTAACACAGCTTGGAGGTTCAACATATGAATCCAGGCTGCTTTCCTCCTCGCTTTTGTCAGGTCAGTGCGTCCTGGTGTTCCACTATGTTAAGCAGCATCGTGATGTAAGAGCCTCCTGTGATGAAGTGCTTGCTGAGTGCTGGAAATTGGGAAAATAAATGTTTATCTGCAGCTCAAGAAGTTGCTGAGCTGAAAAAGAACAAATGCAAATCAAACATTTGCTTCGGTTGTAATTTCTCCTTTTGGAACCTGAGCCCCTAAAGCCCATCCTGCTGTATTGATGGCATCTTGTCTGCTTTAAGTTTTTAATTACTTTTCTCCCCTTCTCTACTTGTTCTCTTGCACTAAAGTGTAAGAAACAGTAGAAAAATGCCTGCCTGTGTTGTTAGCATTTGTCTGAAATAATTATTTGGAGCACGTAGGATTCTCCCTCGTTCTTTCCACTGCTTTTTTAATCAAAACTTAACGATGGTCGTGTGTCAGCCAGTCTGTGAAGCTCTATGGAAACGTAATGTAAGAGTAAATATTGGTGTGGGAATGTGGCATGAGGTGCAAATGTAACAGCATGATGAGCAATAGGAGAAGTGTAAGCAGTGAAGCTGTAGACAAGAAAAGATGATTGAAAGTCCTAAATGTATTTGTGTAATTCCAGTTTGGCTTCAGTGAGCGTTCATTGTGTATGTGATCCAGAGGTTATAGGTGATAAAGCACAGAATTCAACCCAGGGTTTGAATAAGAATATAGATATTTGTGGAAGGGCTGCAGGAATACTCTCCCTGCATGGTTTCTTCTGGAAATGAGCTCTGTTACAGCTGAGGATGACTTCCCCTGAAACACCACAAAACTTTTCCAGCCCTTATGGGGCTGCAACCACACTGGATCCCAGTGGCAGCTGCTGCACACTACAGCAGCATTCACGAGGCACTTCTACCTGGCAGAGCTTATTAAGTTCTTAAATCACATGCAGTAACAGTTCTGGAAAAGTAAGGAACATCAGAAAGTTTTCATGACTGTTTCAGTGAGCCCTAGGTGTGGTATCTCAGCATTCCTCAGGCTGAGCCGTGTGATTTGGGTGCCATAAAAATGATGCTGTATTGCTTTATGTTCTCAAAGCTCTTCTAGATCAATACTCCCTGCTGCCTATCTTCCCAAGAGCTGCATGAATAATTGATCTGGGGGCCTTGCTAGCTAAAATGAAAACAAATATACAAAAAATAAGTTGGGTTTGTCCAGAGCGTTTCATTCCATATTAAGCCTTTTTATTGCATTGAGGTATATTTAGAAACATCGAAGCATTTTGAAATGTCAAATAGACTGTTTACTTTTAAAGCTGTTGGTGAAAACATTTTTACTTTGTTTGGATTATTTTGGTTTGGGTTTTTTATGACACTGTTAATCAAGTTTGGCAAGATACGTTTATTGGGAAGATAAGAGAAGAAAAAAAAGAGCTCCCTCACCCCTTCCCAGCCAAAAAAATATGCATTCAGCACAAAGTAAAGCAAGTCCTCTCTGATGTTTCTCAGGGCTCTGAACACAAGTCTGTAAGGAATGAGCCCAGGGATTATCTGGAGGTCACTGTGCTGCTAACTTGATCTCCAAAATATAAACGATCAAAACATTTTCTGCGCCAAATAGCTGTATTTGTTAAAGCGTGTGGGAACTGAGTTACTGAGCTGCAACTTTAGTCGGATTCATTTGGTGTTTCAGGACAGGATTCATGCATGTTTTACCTACAGTTTTCAGCTACCTTCTGTCATCCTTGGTGTTTCATTGTGAGCCTGAATGCTAAAGCAAAAGTCATAGGAAGGTGTGCAAGTTTCACGTGGCCATTGGTAGCGCATCCATAAACGTGCAGAAGACCAAGCTTGTAAATCCAGCCCTAAAACCCATGCTGTCCCTGTCTGTGGGGAGATAAATGAATTTGGCTTTGAGGCATTTATTTCTTCACTTTTTTTTTTCCCCCCATTCCTAGATTTTCTTATCTTTATGGAAGATCTGTATACACAACGCTCTCATGACATCTGCCTTCCTGCCCTTGTGAGAAAATCCCATAGAATAAAGGGTTTTGAATTTCCAAGTGCGGTGGGAAATGATGAATGTACGTGGAAAAGTGTCTCTGGATTACTCAGCTATTTAAGCATTGTGCTCTTTGCATTCTCCAGAGGCGTGGTGCATTCTGAGGTCTGTACCACCACGTCTACTGCTTTTTCCTCACTCAATCTATCTCAGTAATCTATGGAAAAGAATAAACTGATAGCTACTTTGAGTGGCTT